TTACATATTATACTGAACAATTAAAAAAACACACTGACCAACCAACATGGGCATAACAATTCCTAGTGACCATTATATAACACGATACTGACCATAAAAAAAACTCATTTCACACTACACTGACCATTAAAAAACACTATACTCACCCTAAGGAAACATTACACTCACTTTCTACTGAATAGGTTTTCAATTCCCTCAAAACCTCTCCATCGTGCTTAATCTTTAATAATATGCACATCCAAACAACAACACCCTCTTAATCCCACAATCCTATACACTGTCTATTAATTCTCATTCAAAAAACCCCAAAACATGCAACACACTAAACCACTATAATACATTAATTTTCAGTAAAAGAACACAAAGCTTCATAAACACTAACAAAAACATCTCCTCTCTCAATAATTTCTAAAAGAATTTTATAAGTTTAACAAACTAACCTTTCCAGAAACGCATTTGACAGTAATTTCATTGCCCTGTTCATCAACAAAGTCGATGTTGTCGTCAAGAGCAACTCTAGTAGCCATCGTCGTCTTCCTCGCCGACATCACAATCGGTGACTCTCTATTTGTTCTCTCTGTCTTCGTCGCCCACCCCCCTCATAATTTTTTCTCTCTGTTTCTCAAATCTCCCCTTCTGCGTTTAGTTAATTTAGGGTTTAAGAAAGCACTTCTTGACATCCACATCTTATTCCATCCCAAATTTTGTGTGCAAATTGCCTTCTACAACGAGAACCCATCGAAGGAAATGCCGTGATTTTCGAGATCCCCGCGATTTGAATGGAAAAGGGCTGCGCGATTGTACAGATCTATAAAAATAAGAGTGAAGGTCATTATAGTCTTTTCCTCATCCCTGCGTCATTAAAACATGTGGCTTTCTAACACTAGTGCTATTAAAAGAAATGGGCATTGTTTTAGTGTTATACACGTAATTTCCCCCATTTGAAAATGAAAAGGAGTAGTAGTTTAAAAACTTGTTTAAGTAGTGGAGTAAGGTATTGTTTCCTCTAATAATAACAATTTTAAAGATTATGAAAAACAAAACATAAAACTGTGTATGAAAATAGAAAAAAAGAGAACCATAACTCCAAAATAATAATCGCATTCTTCCTCTGTCATTGAGTTTATCTACCTCTTTTTAATGAACTTTCCTCTTTTTTTACACTAAAAATGTGCATTTCTCTGGAAGTTTATTAACACTCTTTCGTTATCACTGTAAGCATCGATCCATAATAACAATTCTTCTCTATAAACATTCCAATATATAGTTGTCATAAAGAGCAAATTCTCTTGGGTGGGTAGCAAAGATACGTACTGCAACAAGTCCCATTTCAAATACTTCCGAATGAAACTTGGAGTTTGTAGCGACCAAAGTTAGAATAGATCTATTTTTTCAAGTGGTGATAAAATAATTACTCCGTAAGAGAAAGCAGTTGAAACCTCGATGGAGTGTGGCTTCTTATACTCTGTTCACCATAAATCTTCTCAGACATTATTCACCGGGTCAAAATTAATTCACTTTGTTTGTTTATTTTTAATACTCATTTCATAAAATAATATAGTGTTGTCACCTCTAGTTTTGTAGAATTTTTCATGTAGTTTATTACTACATAGATTTTATACCTCGTAACGCGCAATAAAAAGATCTTAGGTGGACGGAGGGAGTATTAAGAAAATGTAATACGGAGTAAAATATACTACGTATGGGGTAAGGATAGTTCAAGGAATGATAAAATTAGTGGTGCCAAATGGTTGATATGTAATCAATAGAATGCATAATACTTCCACCATTTACATTGAATTATGCGCAAAAAATAGATAATAACTTAAAATCTAAAAGGAATTTGAGCGTATTCAAAAATAATTTTTTTAATGTTAGGTTAAATCATACCTCTTTTAGGTTGCAAGAGCCATTAAAGTGGGGACAAACCAACCAAGTCCAGGAATGAAAGAAAATTGAAAATGAAGATGTACAAAATCATTTAATTAGGAATGAAAGAAAATTGGAAAATTTGGCAAAAGACTAAAACAGAAATTACAACAATTGGAAAAAATTGAAACCAATAACTCCAAAAGAATGAAAAAAAGAACGGAAGATAGAGAATCAATAGGATGCTGCCAACATACTAAAAATTAGGCAAATCTGAGATGGTGAAGAAAAGAAATTTGCCTTTCCAGGAAATTTGTGAAGAAATAATTTTATCAGGATGAATTTTATTTATTACACTCCATATAATTTATTAGGTATGCATTACTCCATAGAAACTGAAACGGCTGTGTGAATTACTCCTTAGCATATTTAAAGTCCCAATTCAACAAAAAAATTTGTTCGCGTGGTATCCTAACCATTGTACTTAACGGCGTAGGGCCAATTTGGGAATTAAAAAGCAGCGTACAAGTCCAAAAGCCAATTGTGCTACTTTTTTGGACGGAAAATGGACATAATATTAGGGGATACCAAACCCTCTTTACCATTTATATAATATATATATATATATAAACAGCCCAACCCCATAAATCCAATCTAAAGAAGCCCACTATAAGAAGCCTAATGAAAGCCCAATCTAAAGCTCAACCCCATAAATCTTCAAACACTTCCCAGGGGGTCACCCATCATTGCTGCTACTCCATGGCCAGCACGCTTAACTCTCTTGAAATCCCCGAAAGTTGCTCCTTCTAAGAATCGAACCCGGGTGGTGTGGTTCGCCTATCAACCCTGTGACCATCTCTACAGGGGGGAACCACTATATATATAGACACACACACACACACGTTTCATTGACTTTAAAAAACAAATATATGAGTAAATATAATAATATAGTTCCTCTATCTATAAATAAAGAATTGATGTTTGACTAGATTTATAATTTAATTTAATTTACTTGAGTTGTGTCATTAAATAAAAAATAAAATTTACTTATTTAAATAAATTAAAAAATAAAAGTGATTTGATTTTTAGTTAAAAAACTATATAGTATATTTTAAGAGTTTTGATAGAGTACCCACAAGCCATTGTGGCGGAGATGGTTTGAGAAGGTTCAGCCGTGTGGTTGTGTGTTCAGATCCAGGAGGTGAGTTTTTGAAAACCTTCTCAAAAAGAATTAAAAACCCGGTTCCGGCGGTAAAGCCGGCCGGTTATATCCGGTTTCATCCGGTTTTCACTAGTTCATTACAGAGTGCGGTCTTGTTGCCCGGACCGGTCTGGTTCGAACCGGCTGGTCCGGTCCAGTTTTTAGAACTATGAATGAATTGAAATTAGAGAATTCAATTCCACAAAATTTTAACTCCAATTCAATTCTAATTCTATCAACTGTGTACCAAACGGACCCCTAGTCAAACAAAATTTGAAATTATTTGAAACCATAAACCAGACTTGATACATACGCTATTGCTTTTAAAATAAATTCTAGTGTTTATACTTTTTAATTTCATGAATTAAAAAAGTATTTAAAATTAAAAAGAGTGAATTCATGGTTAACATATTACAGAGAATTACATAAGCATGTAAAATTCATTTCTTGATTTAAGCATGTAAAATTTATACATCGCACTTGAATAGCTCCTTGAGACAATGTTTCATTCAATTTATTTTTTCTACTTACTTATTCTTATTAAAAACAGATAAAATCTTATCAGATCAGATCTAATAAAATCAGATCCTATTATTATTATTCTTGTTGTTGTTGTGGTTGTTCTTGTTGTTGTTATTGTTGTCGTTGTTATCACAACCATACATTTGATATTCTTATATTCTTCTCGCATTTTTTTCAATGTCGAATTCAAAGCTAGTGATCATTACATAACCGTGTGGAGCCATATATAGCTTGTCTTAACCATAAATTTCTTTTTTTCTTTTAAATTTAAGAAAAAATGTAATATTCATTTCATCCCATAAAACATTTATATTGATATTTTGTGGTATTCCGTATAAATTTATTATGTAAAATGTAAAAAAATGTAATATTTTGTAGAATAACATTCATATTTTTTTAATGATGGAATATTTTAATAATAATACTCTATATTTTTTTATATTGAATATTAAAAAAGTGAAATCGGTTTAAAAGTTATTAGCAAAACGTATACACCCTAGAAATCGATTTAGAAGTTATTTTATAATTAAATAAATAAGAATTATTTATTTACGACAATTTTGTTTTTTAAAGAATTAAAAGATACTTTAGAAATTCTAATCGTCTCAATATAACGAGACTAATCAGACTGGTTTACATTAAAACAGTGATCAGTACTAATAAATCGAGAGAATTAAGACGAACCAGTTGGAATCTATAAATACTCGTTGAATGATTATAAAAGTTATATCGTTGGGTACAGATCGACAAATCAAATCCAACGACACGAACGGATCTCATTTCAGAGCAAGTTGGCCCGAAAAGTGTGTTTAAATATGGAGTACAAAACCCTAAACCTTACGCGGCTATCTTCTTCTCCCCCTCTTTCATTGATTAACCTAGCACCGCCACCAACCCCTTTCCTCATTCTTCAGTCCTTGGATCGGAAACAAGAACCAGGCCAACGCTGTCTCCTCCTATCCAACTCAGCGGCGAGGCGGAGAGAATTAATCCGAGAGAAACAGCGATGCCTGTGAAGTGCGGCGACGACAAACCAGCATACCCCTTCCGCGGCGAGTTTGGACGGCAGTCAGGTCATCGACCCACCTTTGCACTGACAACCCCCTCTATGCATGACGAGTGAAGCCACGTGATTGGCGACGAACCCAGTAGCTCTCCGACGGTGATGAGCAATCCGGCAGTGAGGTAAGCTAATGGCGAACTCCGGCAAATCTATAGCGGCGGGAGGGGGAACGGGTGACGTCTCCGGAAATCCCCTCCAATTTCTATCGACTTCCAATAGCGCCTTGGGTATTGCAGAGGGTTGACTCGGATGGTGTTCTGGCAAACAACCTCCAAAGACTCGGTGACTCCCTCCCGGCAATAGAGCATCGGGCGATGTTGGAAATTTTAAAGTAAATTGGACATTTTCGGACATAAATTCGGTTGGGTCCACAAAATTATTTTCCAAAATAATTATGGACGATTAATCTCGTAAGTAAGACGAACGTCTTGACATATTACACGCCATAAACGGTGCTCGGGTGAATGAGAAATTAATTCTCAAAGTTGAATACTAAGGTAGAGTAAATGCCTTTGTCCCACACCGGTTTCTAAACCTTTCGTATTCTCATATTTAAGCTTAGGCATTGAATTGAGCTTATGAAAGGAACAAGAAGAGAACTCCTCGCGCGCCGGCCGCCGCCGCCGTCCGGCTCGGCACGACTTGCGCGCGCGTGCGCGGCGGGGCGGGGCTAATTTTTTACGAGATCGAATTAAACACGTGTGGACACTTCGTGATTAACGAAGTGCCGTCCAAAGGCATGCATGCACAAGGGAGGCGAAGGGGGTGCCATGGCACCTCGTAATCTCCGATGGTCCATTGAAGAGCCAAAATTCCGTCCTATAAAAGGAGGGCTTGGCTGTAGGAGAATAACACACTCGAAAAAAACTCTTCTCTCTTAGTTACTCGTATACTCTTCAGACAATACCCAGTTTCCGATCATCTTCTCCGGCGATAGCTCTCCGTCATTCTCGTTCGCCGGTGCTCTGTTCTACTGCTCTAGACTTAGCACGTAGCGGTTTTATCCTGGGAGGAGATTGCCCACGTTTGCCAGTGCGGGAGGCGGGCAATACTACCTTAAGGAAAGCTTCGGCGACTCTGCTTTCCTTACCCTTCTTTGCTCCGGCGTCATTCCTTACCATTCTTTGCTCCGTTCGTTCAAGCATCCGAAGACTCCAAGTTTTATTTTCTTTTGTTTTGTTGTAAAATCCGAACGTTTTATAAGTTCGGATTATTTTATTTTTATTTTCCCACTGTAATATTCAACATTCTTAAGGTAGTATTGATGGAGTTCGGATTCGGCATCGTGGGTTCCTCCGGCAACGGAATGAGTTCCGAAATCCCGGTGGAAACCTCTTCGGTCGCCATGGTTGTGCCGTCCTCACCACTACCCTTTGGGGCAAGTGTGGGGGCCGCGACCATGACCTCGTTTTCAATGCCGAGCTCGATCTTCGGGTCGGCCCCTCGACCCATTCCCGGGCTCGAAACCACGGGGGATCACCCCGTCGGTAATTCGAACCCGTTTCTCGGACCGACTACGGCTTCAGCCTCGATGGTCAACTTTGGACCGAACGCGGGCTTTCCCACCCCGGTCAACGTAGGACCGAACGCGGGTTTTCCCACACCGGTCAATCCATTCGTTGGACCCCATTGGGCGACTAACGGGCCCTTCCTCCACACGCCCAATGCAGTTGGGCCGATTTCGGTGCCCGCTAGTTCGATTCAAAGGCCATCGAAGTTCAATGGGACGAACTTCAAAATGTGGCAACAAAAGATGATGTTCTTCATGACCGTCTTGGGATTTGCTGAGTACCTGTAGCAAGATCCCCCCCAGCCCAATGAAGCCAACGACCCCCTCGTGGCGATGGTGAACCAAGCATGGTACCACAACAACTATCTTGCCATCAACATTATCTTGGAGGGGTTGGGAGATTCGTTGTATCCCGTCTACGCCGGTGCAACGCTCGCCAAGGAGCTTTGGAATAGCTTGAACAAAAAGTATCAAGCTGAAGATGCCGGCACGAAGAAGTTCATTGTCGGGAAGATGCTGGACTACAAGATGGTCGATAGCAAATCTGTTGTCGCCCAGGCTGAGGAGCTTACGGTTATCTTCAACAAGTGCAATGAAGAGAAAGTAGGCGTCAGCGAGGCCTTCCAAGTGGCGGCCATCATCCACAAACTTCCCCGGTCGTGGGAAGATTTCCAAGCCGACCTCAAGCTCAAAAGAACGGAGCTGAATCTGGAGCAACTGCTCACGCGGTTGAGGATCCGAGAGGAAGGGCTTGCAAGAAGAAATGGAGGGGCTAAGGCGAATGTTGTAGAACATCCGTCGGGCTCTTCACATGGCGGGAAGGACAAGAAGAAAATGGGTCCTAAGGGTGGTGTTTCTAAATTTGCAGGAAAGTGCTACAATTGTGGCATTACTGGGCATCGTTCCTCCGATTGTAGGAAAAAGAAGCCACAAAAAGGAAAGAAAAAAACCACTGAAGCCATGTGTGCGGAGCTTGAGAACTTGGACCTCTGCGCGGTTGTCACCGAGGTGAATCTCGTCGGGTCAAACCCGAAGGAATGATTTGTGGACACAGGAGCCACACGCCATATTTGTTCAAATCGGAGCATGTTTCACGACTTTCAAGAGAGCTCCGGTGACAAGGTGTGGATGGGCAATTCGGCCCAATCAGAGGTTCAAGGGATTGGAAAGATCAAGCTGAAAATGACCTCCGGCAAGGAGCTCACGCTCAACGATGTGCTCTATGTCCCAGACATTCGCAAGAATTTAGTGTCGGGGTCATTGCTGATCAAACACGGCTTTCGGATGGTGTTTGAGTCAGACCAGCTAATCTTATCCAAGAAAGGGATTTTTATTGGGAAGGGTTACATTTCTGATGGGCTAGTAAAGCTCAATGTAATGACTGTTCATGAAAAAATCAATAAAAATCCTGTTGCTTATGTGTGTGAGTCTTCTAGTTTATGGCACGGTAGATTAGGACATGTTAATTATGCATCTCTCCGGAAATTAATTAACATGGAACACATACCTAAGTTTAGTATTGACCTAACCCACAAGTGCGAAACTTGTGTTGAGGCTAAGTCAACTCGAAGTTCGTTTCAAACGATCGAACGGAATACTCAACCTCTAGAGTTGGTTCACACCGACTTGTGTGATTTTCGAACAACACCTTCAAAAGGGGGTAATAAGTACTTTATTACCTTCGTTGATGATAGCACGAAATATTGCTATATCTATTTACTAAAAAGTAAAGATGAAGCGTTAGACACTTTCATTCGATATAAGAATGAAGTGGAAAATCAACTCAATCGCAAAATAAAAGCATTGAGAAGCGATAGAGGTGGTGAGTATGATGCTCCACTTAATGAGTTTTGTGCACAACATGGAATTGTGCATCAAGTAACCCCACCGTATACACCACAGTCTAACGGAGTAGCGGAGCGCAAGAATCGCACTCTAAAAGACATGATAAATGCAATGCTGCTTAGTTCTGGATTACCTCAGAACATGTGGGGGGAGGCTGTTTTATCAAGTAATTATTTACTAAATAAAATACCTCGTAAGAAACTTGACAAAACTCCGTATGAACTTTGGCATAATAGGAAACCTTCCTATAAGTATCTTAAAGTGTGGGGGTGTCTCGCGAAAGTACTTGCACCACCACCAAAGAAGATGAAGATCAGTCCAAAAACAGTTGATGGAATCTTCATCGGGTACAGTAGTACGTCATACCGGTTCTTGGTGTATAAATCAGATAATCCTGAAATTCACAAGAACACAATCATCGAGTCATGGAATGCAACATTTTTCGAGCATATTTTTCCGTGCAAGTCAAGTGACGAAGCCAGTTCGTCCAAACGTTCTCATGTTGAGATGATGGATAATGATGATCCAAATTAGTTGAATTCTGATGACGATGATGATGAAGTCGAACATGAGACTGAACTGAGACGAAGTACAAGAATGCGAACTGAAAAGACGTTCGGTTCTGACTTCATAACATATCTGATAGAATTTGACAAAGGAACTTTGTCATTTCTAATGGAAAATGAACCCGATATTCTAACCTGTTTGGTAGAAAAGGAACCGCGAACCTATCACGAGGCCGTAACCTCAACAGAGGGACCTCAGTGGCAAGAGGCCATAAAGAGTGAAGTTGATTCTATCCTTCAGAATCACACTTGGGAACTGGTTGATCTCCCTCCAGGGTGTAAGCCATTAGGTTCCAAATGGGTCTTTCGGAGGAAAATGAAGCCTGACGGCTCCATTGACAAGTANGAGACGAAGTAAAAGAATGCGAACTGAAAAGACGTTCGGTTCTGACTTCATAACATATCTGATAGAATTTGACAAAGGAACTTTGTCATTTCTAATGGAAAATGAACCCGATATTCTAACCTGTTTGGTAGAAAAGGAACCGCGAACCTATCACGAGGCCGTAACCTCAACAGAGGGACCTCAGTGGCAAGAGGCCATAAAGAGTGAAGTTGATTCTATCCTTCAGAATCACACTTGGGAACTGGTTGATCTCCCTCCAGGGTGTAAGCCATTAGGTTCCAAATGGGTCTTTCGGAGGAAAATGAAGCCTGACGGCTCTATTGACAAGTACAAAGCGAGACTTGTGATCAAGGGGTATAGCCAACGCGAGGGCTATGACTACTTTGATACTTACGCGTCTGTGACTAGGATAGATTCTATCAGAATGATCATCGCATTTGCATCCTTACGAAACTTAGATGTTTACCAAATGGATGTGAAGACAGCTTTTCTAAATGGCGAACTAGATGAAGAAATCTATATGGAACAACCCGAAGGGTTTAAGGTTCCGGGCCAAGAAAAGAAGGTCTGCAAACTTGTGAAATCATTATACGGTCTTAAACAAGCGCCAAAGGTATGGCATGATAAGTTTGACGAAGTAATGATGAGCAACGGTTTTAAGATAAATGAGTCGGATAAGTGCGTATACTTTAAGGACACATCTGAAGGGTATGTCATTTTATGTCTGTACGTAGACGACATACTCATCGTTGGAAGCAACGATAGGATGGTCAAGTCCACCAAGGACATGTTGAATGCACGATTCGACATGAAAGATTTGGGTCTGGCTGATGTGATTCTTGGAATCAAAATACTAAGAAGACCGGATGGTCTGAGCTTGAGCCAATCCCACTACATTGACAAGATCCTTGAGAAATTCAACAAGGATGATACAAAGATAGCTAAGACGCCGATAGACGTAAATGTTCACCTTGGTAAACACCGAGGGAGTAGCGATTCTCAAACAGAATACGCTAGAGTCATCGGAAGTTTGATGTATCTAATGAGTAGGAGTGGGCATGAAATCCGTTCCCGTTGGACCGTCCCGAAAAATCCCGGATCCGTTTTGTAATTGTACCGATATATTGGGACACAATTTTTTTATCCCGAACCCATTCCGTCCCAATATCAAATGGGACATGAGCGGGACAGCATAAATTTATACCGATCCGTCCCGTTTGTCCCGTTTCAACTACTCTACTAATATATAATACTAATTTTAGTCCAAAATCCAAATATACTCATTTTTAATTAATTAGTTATTTAATTAAATTAACTTTATGAGCTTGAAATTTATTTGGACACATTCCATACTCATTGTTTTTTGTTGGATGGCTAGATGTTTCTTTTTTTGAATGAAATGACACTCTCTTCCCCTTCTTATATTTGTGATTAGGACAAGTAGGACGACCCGAATCCGTCCCGTTTTATTCCGATCCCGAATGTTATGGGACAAACCGGGATTAGATTGTAATCCGAACCGTTCCGGACCGTTTATATATAACGGGACAAGACGTGGGACAACCTAAAATCCGGACCGTCCCGATCCGTGCCCACCCCTACTAATGAGTTGTACACGGCCAGACTTAGCTTGCGCCATTAGCAAACTAAGTAGATATACGAGCAATCCGAGTGCTGAGCACTGGAAGGCCATAGTCCGAGTAATGAGATACCTTCGGTATACTCGAGATTATAGCCTATGCTACGGCAGGTATCCACCCGTACTGGAAGGATACACTGATGCCAATTGGATTGCGGATAATAAGGATTCAAAATCCAGAAGTGGATTTGTCTTTATGCTAGCCGGTGCAGCTGTCTCCTGGAAATCCTCAAAACAAACGTTAATTGCGAGATCCACCATGGAGTCTGAGTTCATAGCACTAGACAAGTATGCAGAACATGCCGAATGGCTTCGGAATTTACTTGAGGATAATCCAAACTGGGAAAAACCAGTTCCTCCTATTTGCATTTATTGTGGCTGTCAGTCAGCAATAGGAAGAGCTCAGAACAAATTGTATAATGGTAAGTCTAGGCACATTCGCCGTAGACACAAAACCATTAGGCAACTTCTCAATACGAGTATTATCTCGATTGACTATGTCAAGTCGAAGGATAATTTAGCGGATCTATTAACCAAAGGGTTAACCAATGAGCAACATGAGAAGTTAGTGGTAGGAATGGGTCTGAAAGCCCTACCCTGTGCTGGGAACGTTCCATGAAGGAAAACCCAACCTAGGTGGAACCTGGGTTCAATGGGACAACCTACTTGTGGAACGAAGCACGGTCACTGTGGGGGCAAGCCGGATCACCGACTTAACACCCCTCCGTTCCTACTGAGA